CAGCCCCAAAAAGTGCAAACAGCAGAGAACTGAGGAGAGAATCTGGGAGGATGGGACTGCAGAACCTGGAGCTGGAATTGGACAATGAACCCCAATATGGAAATGGACCAAAATTTATAAAAGTGTGAAAACTCCTGACTCTGGGTCCATCTTGGGTTGAGCCTTGGCCAGGTTCTTGTACTGCCCAAAGTGTATCCTTTAAAGGCTTTTTAATAAATATCTACTTTATTCCTTTAACACTGTCTAGCCTCTGTTCCAGCTCAACCTCTCCAGAAATGAGTTGATCCCACAAAAGACCTCAACAGCAGTTCCAGGAGAAGGTGGCTGATAGCAAAGGACACCAGTTTGTAGGGGATGGGCCAAAACATGCTTAAGGAGGTCAGGTTTATGGAGAAATCACAGAATATCCCAAGCTGGCAGTGTCCACCTAATTCCTGGTCCTGCACTGGACAAGCCCAAGAAACACAGAATATCCTGAGCTGGAAGGAATCCAGAATCAGCCAGGCTGGAAGAGACCTTTGAGATCAAGGCCAACCTATGACCCAACACCACCAGACACTGAATGCCACGTCCAGTCTTAAACACCCCCAGGGACAGTGACTCCAGCACCAGGCCAGCTCCTGGTCCTGCACAGGAAAACCCCAAGAATCACAGAACACCCTGAGCTGGAAGGGACCCACAAGGATCCAAACCCTGCACAGACACCCCAACAATCCCACCCTGTGCCTGAGAGTTTTGTCCAAACACTCCTGGAGCTCTGGCACAATCTGCTCTCTCAAAAAAACAGTTTTACCATTGATTTGCTATCAGGCAGAAGGTGCCAATTCTTTACTGGAAGTTCAATGCTATGAAGTTCCTTGGAGTTCATGATTTCTCTCCCCTTTTTTTTTTTTTTTTTTTTAAAAATCAAAAAGTTTCACTGGACTTTTTATCCCATCTCTTAATACAGTAATTTTTCTACTGGAAACAGTATCAGAAAATGAAAATGCATCACTTTTAATGAGTGAAGTTCCCCAAATACTTCAAAAGCAGCACCACTGTTTTTAATGTGCAGATAAACACACATCTATATCCAAGACTGGGCCCACAGATGTCAGACCAGACCCCAAAATCTTTGTTTTCACCCCAACTAGCCACATACCTCATCTGGGTCAGCAAGTTTAAATTCCCATCCATCTCCTGTCCAACTAATGAAGGACTGACAGGACTTGTCAGTCAGTAACTCCAGAAGGAATTGCCACAGCTGGATAGGTCCACTGCCTGTTGGGAAAGAGGAGACACAAAAAAACCACAAATTAATACCTCTGCCAGCTCTAACCACAACCAACATACATGAGCAGACTCATATCACAGACCTGGTAATTAATCTGATTTATCTTTTTTAGAGATCAGAAAGAAACCCGAGGTTTTACTCTATAGCATAAATCTGCTGTTATCCATGTAAAAATGAAGTCAGGTTTTTCATGGAAACAAAGGATTTGACAAAAGTTATGGCTTTCCCTCTCATATGGATCCTTTAACTCTCACTCCCACCTCCCAAACAGCTGCATTTTGAGCTCCAGGGCTTGTCCTGAAGTCTTTGGCTTGGCAAACATCCTACAATTTCAGCAAGGACTACAGCAACAAGGCTTTAACAACACCTGTGGGAATTTCCAAATTTGGGAGATTTTGTCCAAGCTCCCCTCTTTTTCAAACAGATCAAAAAGTGCATTTGATTTTTACTTGATCTGACATGCCTGCCTGTTCTTGCTTTGGGTAGATAACCCCCCGAGACTTTGTTTAGTAACCTATAAAATTGAAATTATTTGTGACTAGTGGTCTCTACCCCTGTGGCACACACTTATAGGGAACACTGGTGTTACATAAATAAAAGGAGTGACCGTTTTTGCCTCACTACTCACCAGTAAAGCCAGCCAGGATGGCTGCTGGTATAACTGGTTTCCCTTGCTCCACAGGATCACTCCGTTCTTGAATGTAGTCTTTGAAGGACATGGTAGGTTTGCTCAGGCACAGGGACTGGCTGCAGTCATCCTCAAAGCTCTCATAGGATGGCACACGCTGCAAATCCACCAGGGAGGATTGGCTGTTCCAGGACTGCAGCATGGAATCTGAGCTCTCATAGCTCTCAGCACCACTGTCACTGGATTCGTGTTCTCTCAGCTTGCCTTTATCAAAGAGAACAACAAAATTAATAAAATAGAAGGTGTTGGTGATTTTTCTCCCCCTCCTCCTCAATCCTGTCCATATAAATCATGCAAAGGAGGAAGAGGCATTCAGAGCATGGCCTTGGCCCAGTGTTTATCATGCAGATAACAACTCACCAGAGTTATCCATCAGCAAATTGAGATTGCTCCTTGGGAAATCTTGGTTTACTGCACAGTAGTTCACACCAACAGCATCTGCTTGGGTTTTAGGGAACAATGGGAAGTCTTGTTCTGGGTTGAGGAGATTCGGGGCCGTGGAAGTCTGACAGACGTCAGTCAGGAGACTGGGTTTGGGATAACTGAGGGGTTTAGGGTATCCAGGCATTTGCATTCCATAGGAATTCTGATCTACGTTAACAGCTGAAAAAAGAAACCAAAGAATTAGATGATTTTTTCCCTGGAGACCCTTAAACAAACTAATACACTAAATACACCAAATCAGATTCCACAAATCCCCCTCTGTAACTTGCCAGCCACAAATGCCCATTGTTCACTCTTCAAGGAAACTACAGAAAAATCTGGGGAAGTTTAAGTGGTTTTGAGCAAGGCTCTCCCCCATTAAGTGGTGTAATCAGGCTGAGCTGAAGCCTGACTGTGGTAGAATAAAACACACCATCAATCAAACAATCCGAGGGAGCCAGCACTCCCACACACTTCCAACAGCTCTAGCACACTTCCAGAGCCTTTAAAAAGGCCTAAGCAGAACTCTTGCTGCTTCCCAGTTTTTGCCTCGGTTTGCTAGAGATGGGAGTGGTCATTCTGCTCCACAGATGGAGGATTTGGCAGAGCAAGAGGAAATTTCATTTTCTCAAAGCCTTTGCTCTTCAAACGATTTCCGATATAAATTAGGTGACAATTAAACAATACAAGGAAAGAAGGCTGGAGCAGCTGAAGTCAAATGCTCTCCTCAAGCACAGGAACTATTCTGGTGCTTTTTGTTTCTACCCTGGAATCTGTGACATGCTTAGAATAAACTGAGAGATGCAAAATACGAATTTTTAAAAATACTTACTTAAGGAATTATTATTGACCCAGTGAGGAACTGAGGTGAGGTGAGAGTTCTCCACATATTGATCCTGTGTTTTCTCTTGGCTGTCTGGGGAGAAAAGAAAAAGAGAAAATTTGGGTTTATACTTTTAAAGATCTGACCTGTGTGCTATGGAAAGCTTCTGACTCTTGGGAGTATTTTGGGGTCACCACTCACAAAAATTTTAGTATCACACCAACTGAATTTTCACATAAAACTCAAAACCAACAATAACTGTGTGCTTTAATAAGTGTGCTTTAAGGTCCAGCTGTTGATTAACTTTGCATTTATGGGGTTAACTGTTTTATTTATGGGGTATTTAGTGGTCATACCCCAATCTCATTTATTCTAGTGATCTTCCCAAATAAAATCTGCCCAAAAATGAACTCAGCCTGCACACAGGATGTCTGCAGCTATCTGCATCTGTGCTTTGCACACCAAGGGTGTACTGACAGTGCTGATAATGCTTTTATTGACCAAGTTTTAAAGTTCATTTCGAGTTTTCATATGCAATAAAGCCCTTCATAGTGAAACCACTTTTGAAATCAAGTCCAATTTCTGTTTCTGTTAGGAGAGCCCTAAACCAAAAGCTTTTTCTGGCTCTCTAACTACCTTTTATCATCTGTTCCAGGTGTTCCCACAGAATATCACCCACATAGTCAGGTGCCAGTTCCAGGAAACGCTCCTTGCCCAGGTTGCACAGGTCTTGGCCACTCATAAGGAACTGATGGAAGTTCACATTTGCCAAGCTGAACTCATTGGTAGCCCATGAAAGCCACTGGCACACTTGCTGTTCAGTCCACAGCCAGGGATCTGCAAGACAGGAAGAATGCAGCATTCAGAGATAACTCCTGGCTCTTGTCAAATAATCTTCCTTAGAAAGCAGTGAATTTAAAAAAAAATTGTTTAGCCTAGTTATTGAGTTCTGAATGAATTCAGAATGAATGTATTCTTGAATTTTAAAAAAAACTAAAACAACTCAGTCCTCTCTTTTCTTTCTGCATTCACTTGCAACCAGAGATGTCCTCAGCTTGCTTGATTCTCTCTCATGCTGCCAAAGCATGAGCTCTCCATGCACCCATTTTTAACACCAGCAAGTCTGGCCTTTCCAAGGCAAGCTGTGCCAGATTCACATAGGATCCATTCTTGTATTTCCTACTGACATCATTCTTTCCTTCTCAAAGAGCCGCTATTCAGCCTCCTCCTTAGCATTAAAAAAAAAAAAAAAAAAAAAAAGGCTTATAAATAGCAAACACTTACTATTTGGGATACCCAGCCGACACTGTTCCTTTGTGAAACCACTGAAAGTATCTTTCAGGGCCTGACTCATCACAGCCTTGCTGCACGGGGTTAACAGAGGCAATTCACAGTTGTTCGACTCTGCAAGAAAAGAAAAGGGGTGGAGGGGAGGAAGAAGACATATTAACTTCAGGCCACTGAAAGGAGTGACTGGGTTTTGCTATTTGAAGAATTTAAAAAAAAAAAAAAAAAAAGGATGAAAGTTGGTGTTTTAAAAGAGATGCCATGCTCTAAAATCTCTGTGTTACTCGTTCGATAAGGCTGCATCACTAACTAGAGCTTTGCAGCTTTCCATGCATAGATCCTTATTTACTCTCAGTAGTTACATAAAGTGCCTTTGTTGCAGGGAAACTTTATTATTTTTTTTAAAGGGAAATGAGACTGCTTATTCCTATTTTACTGCCTGTAATTTGCCCTGAGACTTCTTTGCAACTCCAGACAATCTTTATTTAATTTGAGAGCTAAGTAACTGACAGCAGGGTTGTGAAGAGCCAGCTTGCACTATTCAACACTGCATTTCAGACTTTATCATATCTCATCACCCAAGCACATGGTGCAATGGATTATTCCATCATCTGGACCAAACAAGTGTGACTGGTAACAAGCTGGGGGTGAATAATGCATCAAACCACAAAGCTGGCACCATTATATGTCAGTGTAAATCACTGATCTACTTCACTGACTTTCAAATTTACAAGAAGATTCTATTTTAAGGATAAATTCGGCTCCCACTCAGCTTTTCTTATTGGCCAATTTTTTTTTTCCAGAAGATGCCTCATTTTATCATAGAATTATGTCACAGAATGGTTTGGGCTGGAAGGGACCTTAAAGCCCATCCAGTGCCACCTCCTGCCATGGGCAGGGACACCTTCCACTGTCCCAGTTGCTCTTGGCAGATTCCAAATCAGTTCAGAGCTGTGCAGCTCTTCTTGCTCTCCCAGACTATCTACAGGTTGCACTTGTGCCTAAGTTCTGTTTTTACCACACCCTTCCTAATATCTGTAAGGACTTGCTCTGCTGACCAGAGCAGCTAACTGATTAGAATCACATTAGAACAAAGGGCCTGTGGTTTTCTGGGTTTGAGGGCTGGAGATTTTTTTTTCCTTTCCCTAAGGGGAGATAAAAGCAGCATCAGGTAAAATATCTACATTTTGTCAGGGATTTTAGGCAAGGATTTGTAGGGCACTCTTGTTGGGATACTGGCCAATACATACACAGATAAAATGAAAAAAAATCTTAAAACATTCCCACCCTGTTTTTTAAGGTATGGAATAAAACATACTAAGATTTAACACCAGAAAATCAAAAAAGCTTTCAGAATATTTGCACTTTAATTATAGTTGAGATGTTGCAAAATTAAATATACAAAACCCTCTTTTTAAAGATTTTGAAACTCTTAGCTCTGCTGAAATTCCTACTAAGGCTTTTCCATGAAAAATCAGTTTAATAGGCTACTGCATCCCAGTTCCTATTTCTTTTCAGTACAAAAAACAACAACTATCCACAAAGAAACTAACATGAATAAAACCAAGCACATATACAGAAGTCTGTGTATTAAACCACATCTTTTTAGGGAAATCCACGTTGCACATCCAGGAAATGTTAGTTAGACCCCAACAATCTCTGATCTGCTGCGTGGACAAAGGAAAAAAGTGAAGATTTACCATAAGAAGTGGAGTCAAATCCTGTTGGCACCTCCTGAAGCGTTTGGTCTTCACTGAGTGAGAAAAAATACCCAGCAAAAAGCGAGTTTGAGCTGTCAAAGGTGTCAAACGCCGGCTGACGCTGCAAAGGAGCAGAATAAACACAGAACAACGTCAGCATTTTGCTGGAGAGCTGTGAACTCCACTGCTAGGAAGTGTCTGGGTTTGGTTTCCTAGATCTGGAGATCATGCACAGCCACTATCTTGAATGAGCCAGCTTTGAAATGTAACCACAACGAGGGCACAGCTTCTGCTGAGTGAATAAAACCCACTGACAAGGAAGAGGTGGGGGATGGTCTGCAGCTTACAGTAAAGCCAAATCAGGATAGTCTCAGTTTTTTCCTGTAATTGAGGCTTTTAACAATAAAGAATGCATATGTGTGTATAAATACATATTTATTTCCAGGTACGTTTAAAAAAAAAAACCCTCATTTTCTTTACCCTTGAAATTGATTATCAACTTGATGAGGATGTGATGGCAGATCAGTAAATTATGGGAAAACTGCCAATGCAGAACCTACGGTAGATTTATGAAGTCTTTTTTTTTTTTTTTTCTAAAGGATAAAACTCATCTAAACCACATCATTTGAAGCTACACAGCCAGCTTCACAGGACTTGAGGAAGGATGTTGAAGCAACTTTTACACTTCTGCCTTACTGCATTTGCCAGCAAACACATTTTGAAGTCTTTCAAGTGCTCAGAAAAACACTCCTACTTTCATTTTACAGCAAGGGATAAACAAGACTGATAAAAATGTTCCAGATAGAAGTGGATTCTACTGATATACTGACATTCAAGAAATATTGCTGTATTTTGAAAACCTAACTCCAACTTGACTTGTGCCAACTGTGTATGCCAGAAATAGCAGTATGAATTTGCTAAATTCCCCCCAACCACTGTAGTCTTTAGGGGGCAGAAGAAATGTGAGCAGAGGAGGAAATAACTTCAAAAACAACTTATGAAACTTGCTTGTTAGTCACAGGGAAACCATATATGCAATATCTTCAGGCAAAGATGGATAGAAGTTGCCACTGATATTTTTTTAAAGGCACCTGAGGATAGAACATTGCTCTGGAAAGCTGCAGCTGGCTCATGGCAGCTCCTGCCCTTCAGGGAGCTGGAGACAAAAGCAACTTGCAAATGTTTATTTGGTTTAGGCAAACACCGATTTGCCAGCTTGTACCAAAGGAGAGGATTTAGCTGAGGACAAGGCAAGGATTTTTATGCAATGCAAAAAGCAACCTAAACTATGCTCCTGGAACAGCAATTTAGGATCAATTTCCCCTCACTTTTCATGTCACCACAAACAGTATCATACATCATTTAGTGCCTTCAAAAATTTCCTGGCCAGCAGGGACAAATTGTGGACCTCTGGTTCAGGTACTCCCCAACTCAAGTCAAAGCCAGCCCGTGGAAAAGCTCATGTCTGAGTAAAACAAGTTAATAACAGCTGCCAAATCTGCTGGTAAAAGATTCTTTATACATTACTAGATAAAAGCTCTGACTCATCTCTAGCACCTAAAAGAAAGGACAAGTTCTTTCAACACAATCTGGAAACTCCTGCATTTTGTGTAAACGGCTGACCCTTATCCTGAGTCACTGGAAAAAATGCTGTGGCATGCGAATGAGTAAAATCCATACCGTGCTAGTTTCATATTTCAAAAGGGAGAAAATTAATGTGTAAGCACGTTCTTCATTTAATAGTAGTAAAAGAGGAAAAACACAATGCAGAATGAATTCTGCTCGTCCTATCAGTTACACAACTACTCTGCTTGGCTTTTCAATACATGTAATTATTGCAGAACGAAATCAAATGGAATGTGAACAGCTACAGCACAGCAGAACACAAGTCTCTGACTTAATTCTATGACAACTGAGCACTGAATAACTGCTTAGAGCAACCGCTGTGTTCAGAGCACACAGATGTTAAGTTTGGGGGATCTTTTGGATTTCTTTGTGGGGAAGAAAAAAGGTTAAGAGGGGACATAAAGCTTCAGAGCAGTCAGCATCCCAGAGTCTCTATGACTGTTCAAAGCATGGCCATGCCTCAAAGCTAATGAGAGCAGAAAGGGTCTCCCATATCTTTAATTGGTTAACATTAATCAATGCTGTGTAAAAAATTGATACTGGGATTAAAAAGCAACTTGCATGAATGGGGAGGGGGGATGCCCTTTAAGACTGAGCCTTTATAGTCTGCTGACCTCAGTATGTAAATTCCTCTCAAAATAAGGTAACAAGCTCAGTCTACCTAAAGATAAAATAAATTTAATTATTTTTGGAGTTATTACAATGTACTTGGCTTCAAGTAATAACAGTTGTAAGTGAATAACTGACTTTTATTCCAAACAAGGTTCAGGAAGATACCAAACTTGACCAGTCCTATCAGTCTCATCAAACTAAAGATACAAACCCTCTCCTGCTGCCCCATCCTTTAACCTTTATTTTGGCACAAGTTCCACCAACACCAGCAACTTTGAGCTCAGATCTCATCTACCTCTTTTAAATTCTTAGGATTTAGGGAATGGAGAGAGGGTTGAGGGTGCAAGATTCCTATTTCAGTCCTGCTTTTCACATCTCTGAGGAACTCAGTGGAAATACTCTGGCAGAAGATTACAGGGGAGCAATTAAACCCGAGTTCACTTGGCTTATCCAACTCCTGTTCCAGCACTGTAGGAACACAACAAAAGCACTGGCTGGGAGCTGCCCCAGCTGGGTTTGGGACTCACCTTGAGCATTCCTCTGTACATGTTCGACACGGGAGCTACTTGATCCATGTTCCTGATCCCAAAGTCACTCATCTGAAAAACGAGAGGGGTCACATTAAAACACTGCCAAAGGAGGAGGAAGCAGATGGTAACAGATGTGGAGCAGCTCTGGCAGTGAGATACAGGGAAAGCTTTTCCAAGCTCCCAACCACACAGGGCAGTTCCCATCTTGCTTTTCAACTGGGAGAGCTTTCACAAAATCTGTGCTTGCCTGGAAAGCCCACGGAAATCTCTTGTCCACCAAGTACCTGTCTCTTTGGGGTATATTCCACCTTTTCACCCTTTAGCTTAGGTAATCAGTTTTGTGTTGTTTTTGCTTAGTCCATGCCTTCTCACAGGCCATGATTCACTTCAGACTTTGGCTTTCAGGGGAAGAGGAGTGACAGAGTGACACAGTGATACACCTTCACCTCCTGCACTCACCCCTTCATGAATAACCAGAGAAGCCAATTCCCAGTGTCCCCAGCCTCCTGCCTTCACTGCTTTACTCCAAACCACGTTATCTTGCATTTTCTAAACACAGGATCAACACATTTATAAAGCACATTTATAAGTTTTAATTGAAAAGGGGTTTATGCAGTAAAATACCCTTTTCAAAGGGCTGATAATGGGACCACTATCAATATTTTTATGCTACTGAAGTCAAACCTTTATCATATTTCCTTTATTACCAGGAACAGAGTTGTGTGAGGCCTGTGTAACTTTTCTCCTATGTATCACTTAAGGAGAAGAGTGGGAAGATTCCTATCCTATGGTGAAGATCAAACATAAGGAAGAAAGCCAGTTTTATGGCCATTGCTCATGTTTATCATGATGCTGCAATTCATGTGTTAGTGAATGATATCTTATCAAGCTACACTCTTAATTTTCCTTCCCTTTTTTCACAGCATTGGGCTGGATTCCCTTGTTCCACAGCAACTGCCTGAAAACATGCATTTGTACTTAAACAGCCACAGAGGACACTTTCAAGATTTCCACAAAACTGCAATCACTTATTACAAGCCAAATCTATCACTCATCATGTTAACACAAGGGAAAAAAAATCACTTTAAAAATCAGAAAAAAGATAATTTTAAAATTCAGAAAAAAATCGTAAATTAGGATTTAACAAAATAAACCCAGCTTGTTAAAAATGGCAACACATTCAAAAGCCGTCCATATAAATAGAGAGGAAAATAAAAACATCCAACAGCCAAAGACAAGGAACTCTTTCATCCTCTTAAATAGCTGATCACTTAAAAATAAAATTTAAAAAAAAATAGCAGGAGTCCTTAACATGAAAGGCCTCTTTCAACTTGACTGGGCCTTATAATTGAAACAAAATAAATCAACTGATACTGAAAAGAATATTCATTAATGTTACTCAAAAAGTGCAATCTACTGAATGATGTTTTTTACCTCAAACAGCACGTACAAATATTTGATCTAAATTACACATCTCATTGAGCAGCAAAGAATTTCACACAGCATGAGTCTCACTCAGCAAGCATCCTAATCTGTTCATTAAATTTGCCACAGTTTAAACAACTGTTTATCCTTGCATTTGGCTGGGCTTTTTAAAAAGTATATGGCAATTTCCAATACCCTTTCTTTTGCCTTTGAATTCTGCTCTGGTGTTCAGGGATAACCGGCTTAGGGATTTGAGTATTTGTGAAAATGTTGTATGTATATTGTGTAAGTTGAGGTCTGATCCCTGGTTAAGAGTACAAATAAGATTCCTGGCACTTGTGTGCAATTCTGACCTCTCCACAAATCCTGTTAGGCACTTGCCCGTCCACTAAAAAAGCTGGGATTCTCTCCTTCCTGTCTTTTTTTTTTTTTGTTTTGTTTCTTTAGAGATGTTTAGGGCCCTGAGACAAAAGGTTTATACCAAGTGTTGATTACACAGCATTGCTCATTAACCCAAGCCCCTGTTTTTACCATGCTGGGTCTGTTCTGAAAAAAAGCTTTGGAAAAATGAGACACGGAGCTCTGGCTGAAAAGCACATGGAGATGCTCAGCACGTTTTGCAACACTCCAGCTTTCTTCCTCCAACCGAGTATGTCAATCAGAGGAATTTCTATATCCTTTGCTCATCCCACATCAGCTCTCTCCCCATCTGCAGCACAAATTTCCAGCCCTGAGATACAAAACCCTTACAGAGATACCACAAGACAAACAGAGCTGGAAAAGCAACGCGGATTTCTGTGGCACAGAGGGGTTAAACGTGGCTTTGGAAAGCTGCTGTTTTAAGTTCAGAAAAGCCACACTGGTGTGACTGGGCCTTACCTCCAACTCCTCCACTAATGCTGATGACTGCGACTTGCCAGCTATAATTGGTTTAACTGGCAGGACACCTTCCTCAACACCCCCGCATAGCTGAGTGGGTGAACCAGAACAGGGTCAACAGGATCAGGCACTTATTAACTAATACTCCTGAATTCTGATCGCCTGCTTTTCAGCAGCAGCCAGGTGCCTGCGCACAGCTGGGCGCAGCTGGGCAGCATCCACATGGGGAAGAGAAGCGCGCTGCTTCCCCATGGATCTTGATGTACCTCCAGTTATTTTTACTGGGGTTTTTAGGGGTATTTTTTTAGGGGTTAGAGCGGGAAGGGGGGTTGTTACACCTGATTGTTGGTTTTGTTTTAAAGGTAATTTTTTTCAAGGGGAAAAAACCCGCCTCCTTTGGGAAGAGGGTAGGAGAGAACGGCGAGCCCCGTCCAGCCCCTGAGCTCCGCCGGGAGCCTGCCCGGCTTCTCATCCATGACACACGCTTCGCCCACGTAAAAAAAACTTCGGTGGGCAGATCACACAGCCCCAACGTGGCTTTTTTTTTTTTTTTTTTTTTTTTTTTTTAAGTCCCTTTAAAGTCCTAACCAAATCCAGAGCGCGCTGCCCATTAACCCCTTCCTGCCGGGGCCGCGGCATCCCCTGGGGGATGAGCTCTCCTCAATCCCGGGGGAGCGAGGCTGAGCTGGGGTTCTGGGGGTTGTGATCGGCATCCCCGGGGAGAATCCGGGCAGCACCAGCCTGGAAGGGTCCCGGGAGCACAGACGAGCCCTTTGTGCTTTCCTCCCCCCTCCATCCTCCCCGCCGCCCCCGCCTCACCTGGTCCCCGCCGCTGCCGCGGCCCCACACGCGGCGTCCAAGGGATCGAGGCGCCGCTGCCTCTCGGCCGAGCCAAAATATCCTCGATGCGGCCGCACCGGCCAACAACAACACCACCACCACCACCAAGAGCAGCGCAGATTCCGGCGGAGAGTCCCGGCGAAAGGAGGGGAGCACACAAGGGGCGGGATGCGGCACGGAAGGCAGGCGGGTGCCCGCGGTGTGTGGGCGCTGCCGGCCGGGCCGCGAGTGAGGGCGGCCCGCGGTGCTGCCGCGCTGGTGCCGCGCTGGTTCCGCGCTGGTTCTGCTCCGCCTCTGCCTCCCCTCGGCTCCTCTCCGTGCTGTGCCGCCTGCCCGCCCTCGCAGGCGCTCTTCAGCGGGCGGGGGGAGGCGGCCGGACCCGCCTCCCTCAAGCCCGGCCCCTCTGCTTGTTGTTGTCGCTGGTACCGGCCCAGCCGCGCTCGGCTCCGCCAGCGCCGGGGATGCGGAGAGCGGCTCGGGGAGGAAAACGAAGAGGGGGGAAAAAAAGCTGTTTTATGTCGTTCCGAGAGACGGATGTTGTGTTTTTTTTGGTTTTTTTGTTGTTTTTTTTTTTTTTTTAAATTTTGTTTCCTTCCCCCTCCCTGCACCGGTTATGCGTGAGATAATTCATGCTGGACGTTTTCCATGCTTGTTTTTTAATTAATGCCTCCCGTCGAGTTGGGTGAGATTAGGAGAGTTAACCCCTGAAATTCCGAGTGGAAAGAGTCTGTTTGGGCATCAGGAAGAATTTCTTCATAGAAAGGCTGATTAGAACTGCCCAGGGAGATGGTGGAGTCACCATCCTTGGAGGCGTTCAAAGAGCATCAGTGCCATGGTTTGGTAGTCTGTCAAAAGTTGGCCTCGATGCTCTCAAAGAGATCTTTCCCAACCTGATTCTGTGATTTTCATAAGCAAGCTGCGACACTTCGGTGCTGCGGAACTTCAGCGATTATGTCATGTCGCACCTTCCGCAATTATTTTGGGGAGCTCTTAATATAAAACGGGATGCGACGCGGAAAAGCTGCAGCCTGCGAATCGCAGATGCTGTGAAACAGAGTTGGCGTTCCTCACACCTTGGGGAAAAAAATTTGCTGGCCCTTGGAAAGTCGCAAGGAGCTCAGTGACACCAAAATGTAAAGTTAACTTTCTGCCGAATTTATTTGGTGGAAGTGAATTCACCCTGAGGGGCTGGAGAGATTTTGTGGACAGGCAGGCCAGGGCCTGGGTGGCTTTTCTTAGGTTGGAGTCACCTAACTTACCCAATTCTCTTGCCAGATCACCTACAGATGATTTTTAATGATATTAAACACTTTGTGTGCATTCAGACCAGGGATCCATGTGCTTTTCCCAGCTGCCCATTGGAGCCACCCTTTCTTCTTGCTTCCCCCTTGACTTCCCTGGATTTTCAGTGAACACTCAAGGACCCAAACTGCACTTAGAGAGAAGTTTGCTGTTACACCTTGCTTCATTTAAACTCCAAATTAACACTTGTGTCATAGGGTTGTAACTTTTCTTGTAAGAGCCCACTAACTGCTATTTCTCAGCTCCTCACCAGATTTCAAGTGATCCTCTACCTTTACCTGTGAACATTTTTGCCATTAAAAGCACACAGTTTCTTTGGCCTTGCTGGTGCAGTTGTCAGGGCTCCCTCCAGCTATTTCTGGCTGTAGCAAAAACTGGATTTCTTTTAGTATTTTTTTCAAACTCCTCAGAAAACTTTCTCCTTAGAAAAGCAGGATATATTTCATCCCTTAGGGTCAAATGTTACTGGGAAAATTGTGACAGTCTACTTTGAGAGGCTTAAAGAAGTGTCTTGATTATGCCAATGACATTTCTTACTCCAGGAGAGCCCTGATCTAATAAGGCAACATCTGCTATAATCCTAGGGGAAACCATTAAAAACTGTATGTCAGCTGCATAGCAATTTTAATTATAACACTGACAAAAACAATTATGACACCCTTTTTATAGGGGAAACATCTGTCAGAAAGATAAGATGAAAGGCTAGGAGTTATTTATTTCTTGCTAAATTAACATTCTGGGACCCAGAGCAAAATTATTAACCTGGCCATATTTTGCTCTATTGAAAGGTCTTATTTTTAGAGCAGTTCTTCTTATGTAAGAGTATTTAAGTTCATTAAATTTTACTTATTGTTAGTATAGAAATAGACTTCATTAGAAGTGGTTTGTGCTTAGTGGGCTGGATGATGTATGAGGAGGGGCTGGGGGAGCTGGGTTTCATTAGTTTGGAGAAAAGCAGGCTAATGGGGAATCTCATTGCTAATTTCAACTCCTTAATGGGAGGTTGGAGCAAAGGGAGAGCCAGACTCCTCCAGAGGTGCACAGTGGCAGCAGGGAAAATGCCAATTCGATATTTGGGAATGAATGCTCCCAGTGTGAGTGAAAGCTTCCTCTGGGGGAGTCTCTGATCCACAGTGGAGTGGCCAAAGCCCAGAGCAAGCCCAGCAGGTCAGAGCAGAGACCTGAAACGTTCCAGTCCAAGTTCCTCTTTAATTCTGTGTCCCCTCTGCACGGCTCATTTTCAAAATGTCACATCATTAACCCAGAGAGGCAAAGGAAAAATAGGTTTGGTTTGGCTTTTGTAATGTGTCCGTGTGTTTGGTTCTATTTTAGGAATTGTCCATCCTACTCACAATTTTCTGTGGTTTTATTTCTGTGTGTGTTGGCACTCTGTGAGCCAGAGACAAAAGAGGGAGTTATGTATCAGTTTAAGAATAATTGAATCAGCATCTAGCTGCAAACTTCTGAGATATTTTTTCCTGATATTTTTGCTTTTTTTTTTTTTGTAGGAGCACTGTGGTGCTCAAGAGTGAAGTTGCTAGAAAGGGAAAAGGAAAGAAAACTGATAAAGAAGAAAGAAAACAGCATTACCAAGTTCTCTTTTCTGTGGTAGTCCAGATAGGCAAGACTTTTTTTTCAGTCCTTCTTGATTATAATTTTTTTGTTGGAATGAGGACCTATGATGAAAGTGAGTGCTAAGGATTTAGTTCTGAATTTTTTTTTAACTACCTTTCTCTGCAACAGTGCCTCAGAAATAAGCAGAAGAGTTACTCTCTTGTAGTGAATTAAAGTAAAGGAACGAGCTAGATTTTTTTTGAAGTACCTGGCAGTGAATGGCTGTCCAAGGGCATTATTTGGGCCCGTATTTCTGATCTGAGCAGCTGCAGGGCTGCATTGTGAGCTCATTGCAGGGGCAGAGGGGCAGCAGCTGATGGTCAGGGCATCCCAGGGAAGGGCTTCACTGACTGTCTGCACACCATAGCCTCACTGGGGACAACAGAGAGGGGGAATAAGACCCTAAAAATGCCGAGGTTTGAAGCGTGGAGAGGGAATGTGAGGAGGCAGGTATGTGGCAGGGCTGCATTGCAGCTGTGACTTACTCCTCCAGAATTCCTCTTGCACCACAGGGGCAGGGGACACACACAGCAGTGAAAATCCCTGTCGTGCTGTCCTGGTGTGCGTGGCACCCTCATCTGCATGTTGGCTCAGCTCCTCTGGCTGGGGAGGTTTGGGGTGCACGTGTTCCTCCTCCTCCTCCTCCTCCTCTTCTTCCTCCTCCTCCAGCTGCTGTAGGGAGGGCTGGGCTGGAGCAGCCCTTTCCTGGGAGCCCCAAAAATATCTGGTGGGCTCTCAGGGTCCCTGCACCTCCTCCCACTGCTGCTGGCATCCCTGCAGCACCAGGGATGCCTCCTCCAAAGCCAGTTTGCATTCAGCAGCGTAAATAAACAGAGCCGTCCTGAATTTGAAAGGAAAGGCTGTATATTTGTGCCCCTAAAAAGACAATTAACAATGAAGCTCCAGCGGCAGCAGGCTGTAAGTTCACAGAGTAAAGGGTCTCAGGAAATAACATCTTTGAAAAATAAAGGCCCAGCTCTCCCAGCTTGAAATAGCAACTTCAAACAAGGCGCTGTTATGGTTGAAACAAAGGATGAAACTCATTTACTCTGCCATTCAAACGTGACTGAAACAAAATATTTATACAGGTTTGGGGGGAAAGGGGGGCTTGGAATGGCTCTTCACCCAGACATAGATTGTTCACAGCTAAAATAAAACACAGCTGACTGTCCCCACTGGAGAGTTCTCCCCACGGTGTTTGGAGCACAGAGTGTGACCAAGGTAATTTCTGCGAAGGCATCCCAGTGAGTCACAAAGTGCAGTGAGTTATTTGTGTGTGTGTGTGTGTGTGTCATTACTCTGAGCACATGCAAACCAACACGGCTAATTACTGCCCAGAAAAAAAAAAAAACAAACTGTGTCAAAGTTTGAGCAGCAGCAGCCATCGCTACATTTTACCTGTAAAATGCTACATTTCACCTTCAAAACTCTCAAAGAAGTCACGTAAACTCCCAGCTGCATAAAGCATAAAAATTTGAAGGGTTTATGCATCTGGTTGATTTTTTTTTTTTTAATTAAGTGAAAACGTTGCAGGCATGCCTCAGATAATGCTGCCAGTGGACAAGAGAGATGCCTAACATATGAACTGTAGGATGATGCCTCATATGATTGAAAAACCCAAACCTTTACCTTTCATACAAAAGCAGAAGGTTAGTTGTTAAACTAGCTAATGCTTGAGAGATTGCTCATACCATTTTGGGTGTATTTAATTCATTTCATGCAGTCTGAGGCATAAAACAAAAAGCACATGTTAATATTTTAAGGCCAAGTGTATTCAGAAACAACAGAGCTTAATAATTGCTCTTGGATGACTGGGTTCAAAAAAGTATGTTTGAGCTTCCTTTAGCAGCAAAGCTTTTTCTTTTATTCCCTGCTGGTTTCATTTAAGAATTACTTTGCTTGTGCACAAGCTTGTGATTCTCCTGGTCAGCTCACTAATCACTGTGAGTGCCCTTCAGTGCAGCGAGGGCAGGAATTCATCTTGCTGGGTATGAGCTCTTTTTTTC